GGGGGGGGGGTGTGGAGTTGTCAAATTTTTGCAAAGAAATTTGGACATATACATTAAATGAATGCATAAATAAATGATTATGATTCCAGTATATTTGAACATAGCTGCAAATTGATACCAGAACTCTAACTGATATGAGAAGTCATATATGATTATGCACATAAGGAAGTTTTTCATCTCACTGTAGAAGTTAAGAATTAAAAGACAGCTGCAACTTGTTTAGTACCTATTAGGTGCATACAAAATTAATAGAGCCAGATCCCAATATATGTTGTTTCCACATTTTCAGGTGAATGGCCTAGTGACGCAAAGCTCAAGTGGAGCACATTTGGCTTAACTGTCTTTCTTACAATCAAGAAAATAGGTTAATCTGCTGCTGGTGATTTTTAATTTTTTTTTCCTTATGTGATAGGAATTCCTCCTGAAGATCTTCTGTGTATTTCGGAACCTGATGAAAATGAGTGTCTTTCCTCGAGACTGGATGGTGATGAGGTTGCTCACCAGCAAGTAAGTAGAGAAGCAGGTATAAAGTGTTGACATTCTGTATCAGAATTTTTTTCTCCTCCGCTGGGCACTTAAAACCTGTGATGCACTGTGTTTCATCAGACTGAGAGGTGGTGATCAAGGCAGGAATTCTGGAATGCTCCTCCTCATTCTGCAGTTATTTTACCATTCTGGACCAAACTGGGACTTCTGTATTTGCTTTGTTTCTTAAACTGTACCACTGTGCACAAGTATCGAAGAGTTAAAAGTTTAAACCCGAAGCTGAGGTAGCTGCATTGAGGGCAAGAGTGACGCAGTGCTACCCTAACGGATGGCAAGGAACAGCTCCCCACACCAACTGTATTAACAGGCAGGCCTCTCAACTCCCTTACTCAGTAAATTACTATATTAAATGTCTGTGTCTTCCCATAAACATAGTTCTTTAACCCGCCTAGGAGGAGGACTCAGTTATTTTGGAAAAGGAGGAGCATACCCTAGCAATGACACCAAGTGCATTACATACAGAGTTTTTTCTCAATTAAATTGTCATCTACCATTTTAATGCTTCATTTTATCTAATATTGTTGCTTCTCGTGTTAAGTACTATGCTGTTTGGAATGGCAGCAGTGTGATGAACACAGGGTGGCTGCACTTATTTACTAGTTTCTTTACATAAACTAGCTCTAGAATTACTACTGATTAACTGACAGCTGGAGGGGTTCCTATTACAGGAAGACACCGTGGAAAAGTTTTTCTAAAGGCTGACTGCTCAGCTGAGCTGTATGTTCTGCGAGTTCACAGCGCTTATGAAAAGTAAAGAAATGGATTTCAGTATTTCAAGTGCAAAGATTAAATGAAGTTCTGTAAGAAAAGAAAACTCAACATGAAAGAGTAGTTACCTGAGATGCTGTAGGTTACCTAGTTCCCTTGGGAACAATTTTGCTGTAAACCTAATGTTTAGCAGGGTCGCGGGAAGTGAATCAGAGATGTGCTGGGGTTTTTGATACTATTGTTGCCTTACCTACATGCTATTTATTAATTCCTGAATTTATCACATGCCTTGATTGCCTTGCACTAAGATGTATTTAGCCATCTACAAAAAAAAATACCAAGGAATCCAGAATTGGCAAAATACTCACAAATACACTGAGTTGAAGCGTGTGCCAGATAAAAGACCATTGTATAGCCAAGACTGAAAATAGCTCAGACTTTCTGAGTTGCTCTTTGGGAAAAAAACCTGCTTAAAATAGGAGAAAGATGGGTGTATTCTTTCATTTCACTGAAGGTAATATGTCCCAGCCATACAAAATAGACAAGATTTTAAATGTTCCTGTGTAAATTCCAAAAATTACAATAATGATGAAAATTCTTCATCTCGTATCATCTAGTACAAACTAAACTTATTAAAACATAGAAAGATAGTGACTTCTATGTGATCTTGCAGTGATTACATGAAGAATGCCCGTCTCTGTATTTATAGTAAAATTAGCACCACAAACCATCGTGCTATGTTATACTCCAGATTCCAATGTTCTTTTTTTTCTTTTTTGTGTTTTTTACTGCAGTATTATAGTTACAACAGTTCAGTACCTGTCTTCTGCACTGCATAAGAATTTCACGGAAACGGACTTTGATTTTAAAGTAAGAATTGATACTGAGAAAATGTTATGGCATCTTTTTAAACTAGCAGTACAAAGGAACAAGAGCTATTCTCTACATTAGTTGATTATATTAGCAGCATTTATTTGAGTATCTGTGAGGAAGATGACCTAACTGATCAAAGACAGGAATTTGAACCTGCTGTGGAATTGAGGGGAAGTAGAACAGATACACTATGAGATTAAATCAAGAAAATTGAGCCCCTTGTAAAGGAAACGAGTATCTTTGTAAGCAGTGGAGCTAACGAAGCATGCTGTCTTACAGAGTCATGGCTAAAGAAATGTAAACAACTCAGGCAATGCTTTTCCTGAAGTTGAGGCATTTGTCATCTTCCACTCCCAGAGGCTCTCCTTCTGGCTGTTGACTTAAAATCTGGAGGAGCGCTGTGTCTCAGGGGGTGTTTTCCCTGTGTCTGATGTAGTTGAAAATGGGCAACAAGTTCAGCGTTACTACGGAAAAGCTGCCAGACGTACACACAGCATGATGGCATGAGACTCATTTATTTGGGTAAACTAACTGAATTATAGGGCTCTCATTCATAATATAATGTAACCTCTGGGGATTTTTGAGGGATAAAATCTGTTTAGCCTACAGAAAAAACAATTTACAACTTCACTGAAATCATGAAGTTTATTCATTTTTCAACTCTGGTGCTAAGAGGAAAGCCCAGTGGCGTTACCTTCTTGGGGTTTTTAATTTTAGTTCCTACCAGGTTTTAAATAATCCGTTGGTATCCTTAAGAGTTCAATATCTCAATCGTTAAGATACATATTGATTAAGTTACAGCTTGATTACAAAAAGGAACGGTCTCATTCTACATACAAAAGAACATATGTCTTCCTACACTTATTTAAAACTTATTCCTTGGAGTGTAATGTTCTGAAACTTCTTTCCTGTGTCACAGGTGTGGAACTCTTATTTCAGCCTGGCAGTTTTGTTTATAAACCAGCCAAGTCTCCAACTAGAAAATGCCACACCAGCTAAGAGGAAGAAGATTCTGGATAAGTAAGAACATGTTTTGTTGGTTTCCCAGCCTTTTCTGCACCTCAAAAATGAGACTTTTTTCTACCACAAGTCCCTGTGATTTATTACAGAACTTGGGATGGGGAAATGCTTGGGAAATAAATAAATAGATGTCCTAATACAGTGTTCAGTGATTAGCCAAGTTGTTTGATATTCTTATGTTGACTTAAACATGCATTTATTATTTTTTTAACATCACTGCCTTGCCGGTTTTTATTCCATTAGGCAGTTGTCTATCTCCTCCTCTCTTTCAGATATGGCGATATGAGAGTGATGATGGCATATGAGCTCTTCAGCATGTGGCAGAACCTGGGTATGTCTTCTCCTTCTCCATTCTGACAACCAAAGCCAAAGTAACCCCGGATTTCTGTTGGAAAGTTTGGGGTTTGTTTTGGTTTTTTGGTTTGGTTTTGGTTGGTGTTTTTTTTTTTTTT